GGTATCCCATATAAGGATTATTAAATTCTTATTATATATGGAGTGCACGCACTGCAACAAGGAGTTCAGCTCCAAGCAAATGCTCAAATACCATGTTGAAAAGAAGGTCTGTAGAAAGCCGCGGGAGAAGCGCTGCGAACACTGCGATCGTCTGTTCAGCAGCAAGCAGATGTTAAAGTACCATGTGGAGAACAGTGTGTGTCTGAAGCATATTTGCGTACGCTGCGAGGAGGATAAAGAAGAGGATTGGCATTTCTTCCGCTGCCCAACGCGGTATGAATTAGACGGCGTAGCATGTGAGGACCACGGCGACATCGCGGCGCGCTGTTGTCCTGAGGAGACCAAGGTGGAGCTCATACGTCGAAAGAAGAAGATAGACATGCGCTTTGCTATGTTTGACCGCGCGGAAGGGTTTGCGCTGGGAAGGTAGGGAATATTGGGAGGCAAACTGCGAACGCTGCGGATGTAGGAGGGACGGTCAACATATTTGGCAGTGCTTATACGTGCAGGCGGACCCCATTACGTTCAAAGAATACATGGAACGCATTAGAAAATGGCATGCTGACGCCGTGGAAGATCGCCTGAGCGATTAAAGGGGGTTACTAGGGATGTCTGGAAAACTATTCTGAGACATCCCTTATTTTTATTCATTATTTATTAAGAGGTTACGGAAACTATTTTGGAAGAAGTCTTATTATTATTTATTATTTATTAAGAGGAAAGTTTTTGAAGATCTACTTTTATCATCCTTAAATAAGATCTCAATAATAATGAGCCCATCCTTGAAATAGTTTCCAACCCTCCTTAATAAATAAGAAATAAAAATAAGGGATGTCCCAAAATAGTTTCCGGGGTCCCTTAATAAGATCTCACTAATAATAAGGATATTCTTGAAATAGTTTCTGATATATGATAGCCTACGCAGCAGCATTCCTAGGAGGATTCCTAATAACCCTTTCAATATATGGACTGTATTACATGTGAACCCCCCGCAGACTGCATCGTTAAAAAAGAGTCGCCGACCCTCATTGTCGACGAACCCCACTTAAACGACGCTTTAGACGCGTCTAACCAAGGGCGCTAGGGCAAAAATKGGTGGTTTTTTAGCCGTTAGACTCCGTTATATTGGTGTTTATTTAGCCGTTAGAAACTGTTTAAACTGTTACTCATCTGTTCTGTTATGTGCTGGCTTGATTTATTCAGTTTTCCCGTCTATATACGCCAAAAATACTGCTGTCACCAACGGTCCAATCGTACGTAACGAACTACTGTATCCTATACCTGCCTCGTGACCGCTTACGT